AGGCGTAGGGAGCATGTGCAAGGCTCTGCTTCCAAACACAGTGTTATGCTGAAAGCCAGGCTCTGCAGACATCAAAGGCATTGGTCTCTTGTCCATTGTTAAGGCCGAACCAAGTGTGAGCTTTTCGGAATAAATCTTATAAAACTTTCCTGTATCCCACTCTGCTCAGAGCTATCAGAAAGACTTCCCCTTCCTGAAGAACTTTTCATCACATAAAACTCACTCTCTAAGGTAATTTCAGGCAAAGAAAGAAAAGCTTCACCTTGGAACTGAGCAAAATAGAAGATATTTAATCTCAATATAGCATGGACTTTTTTATTTTTTATTTTTCTTTTGTGACAAACTCAAATATCCCCAAAATACTGGCCGGTAATGAACGTGTCTTTTCCAGTTATGAGTTGTATCCTTAGTGTAGTTTCTTTGACTTGAGGGGAGTAAGACTGGTTTACACCAGCTGTAAATCTGATTCCACAGCTACGGCAGTGTGACTGTGTGCTGTTTTCTAATCAAATAACCACTGTGAAATACCTGATTCACTTTGCACCCAACAGCTGTACTTTCAGCCCATGTTCCCAGTCACACTCTGAAAACAAGCACAATAAGAAAGGCCGAAACAGCTGCAACTTCTCAACAGAAAAAAAAAAAGAAGGGGGGAAAAAGGCTTGTTGTCAGGCTCCAGCTTAGGAAGGAAGTAAAACCATTTTTCTTTTCTGTCTCATGCATGTCAGCTGTCTTAGAAAAATTATTACTGCTCTGTTTTGTAACAGAAACTCCACAATATTTAGTAAACTACAAACTCCAATCTATTCATGGCCAAATACAGATTTAACATTTCTGATGCAGCCAAAACATGCTCAGTATGTCAATGGGCTGCAATTATTCTCCAGGAGAACTCTGGAATTCACCTCCCGGCCCCAATTATCCTCCTTAAAAGAGCTCATGAATCTTCTGTGCTTGGACAATCTAGATTGATTTGATTTTAGTTTTAGATTTTGGCTGAAAAAAAATAAACATTTAGCAAAGGAGGCAGTATTTCCATTCCTGTATTAGTGTATCAGTGCTTTTCAGAGCTGTGAAAGTGAAAAATTCTATTTAATCCAACTAAGAGGACAAGTAGAAAACAACAGGTGACTATTCACTGGTTGGGTAAGGCATACCTGCTTCTGCATTCCAAATATTATTGGCTCCTCTGATGTTTTTTTTAAAGAAGCAAAATACAGGCTGTACTCTGATAACAGTTGGGTCATTAGCACAGCCATCAGCTTCAGTGGAATCACTTGTAAAGACAGGAGCTATTCAGCGTGATCTGGCTCTAAATACATCAAAAACCTAGACTCAGCTAGCCATCATTTACAGAAGGAAAAATCGTGTTCTCAGAAACTACATATTAAACCTTCTCTTGACTTTTGCAGAAATGCTGTGCTGTAATTGTGTGGTAAACAGAAAAATATGGCTGGAAACAGAGATGAGGCATCAGTAGGAAGGAAGAAAGTGATGAGCAGAAGAAAGTGCAAAAGGATCTGGAAAGAGAGCAAAAAACATGAAAGAAAGAAGAGAAGAAGAATCAAATGGTTGGCTGCTGATCATGTGTAAGCAGGTATAATAGGAGAATGTGAGATACATTTTCAAATAAATTTTTTTTTGGTTTGAACATCAGGAGCTTGATTCGGCACCTACTGGCTGCCACAGCACAGGCTTGGAACTTCAATTGAATTTACATGATATGATACTGTGTTTTAAACATCTATTTTTTTCCCACAAAATGTTTGTAATAATTAAAATGAACCCTAATTTAATATAACAAAATTTTGATTAAAAAAACATTCATTTCACCCTTAATTGTCACCAATATGTGTCAGATTTGGTCATTGTGTTGCCAGAGAAGTTTATGTCACAAACTAAATTGTCTAAACACAGACTTAAGATTTGATACTTCAAAAAGGATCTAAGTACCAGGTGCACTGTGTTCACTACAAGTCTATATATGAGTATGTATTTTTTCTTTTTCTTTTAAATAGTTTTGATGAAAATATATTATAGATACATTAATACAATAAAACCAGACGTAAAACAGGTTTGTTGATACATAGAATTTTCTAGAAATTCTGCAAGTTATTTTCTCTGAAAGCAAATCTCTCTCTGAACAGATATAGTCAGCTCTGAATAGCTATGAGTTACAAATAGGTTGCACAGGAAAATTCAATATTTGCATGTACAAAGAGCTAAAATATTAGTGCAAATGACAAACTGTGCAACAGGTAGGTGTACAATAAGGAAAAAGAGGAGGATTTTTTGCAATATGTTCCAGTATATTTGTGAATGAAACAAAAAAAGAAAATAGTTACTTTCTTTGCTATAAAATATGGGGAAGTGATTAGGGATATTGTTTTGATAAATTAAATCATTGTTAGATTATCCTGATTCTTTTTTAATCCATTTTACTTCAGTAATGTTAGTTTAATAGCTCAATTTTTAATGATCTCCATCTCATTGCAGTTAATAGCTATATTTCCATAGAAACACTGCAAATCTGCTTTAGTTGGACATTTGCTAATGAACATGTTTGAAAGCACTTCCTAGATAACTATTAGTGTAAAAAAAAAAAAAAAAAAAAAAGACTTAATGTAAGTGTACATTGAATTCTGGAAAAAGTGATGTCTTCTGTATTCTAGAGACATAGTATTCCTTCCAAGACCATTTAAAGGCAAAAAAAAAAAAAACACTAAACATTTTATCTGGAGGTAGTGTCATTAAAGCTAGTTGGTATGCTTATTCTCCTGCTGGTTGCACCAAATCCTCAAAGAAAGAGCTCCTACTTATTACAGTATGAGCCCAATGCTAACTTCCCTCTGTAACTCAAGCCAATCTAATTCAATTATGAGAATATTTCTGCTAATGGCAATATGAAGTGTACACAATAGCCTTTCTTTTGATCTGTAACTGAACCTGGAATGGGAAATGTGTCCTGGAAATATTTTAATTGTTCCATGAGTGGGTAAATGTCTGAATGAGATGTATAGTGCAGGACTTGAATGAATAATTTAAGGAACGTTACAAATAAAAATAATGCTGCCTTGTGCTTTCCACCGCAGCTCCCTAAAAGCTTTATGGCAGCCCAAAACAAGTGCAGTGAATAAGACAGTGGCTGTTATTAACTGTATATTTTAGATAAGGAAATGGCTTCAGAAAGGTTAAACAAATTGCTCATGTTCACTGTGTGAACCAGTATCTATGTTTAATAACAGAGCGTAGGTTGCTCCTGTGCTCAGCGTGTAGCTCTTAGCATTTGCCTTTCCTGTGCTGAAGACTAGCTGCAGCTTAAAGATAACGAGGTCGTCAAAGCAAGTTCAGGTAAAACTGGCAGGGTTGTCACTGAACATTTTGTTAAATTCCTGTCTTTTAGGGGGAAAGGAGAAATGTAATTTTCTCTGATTTTCTCCTGTTTTCCACCTGTCCTATATGTTAAATTACTTTGACCCCCCTCTTTTCAGGAGCACTATGGGTTGTGCAACCCAGGGCAGGTTCTGCACCCAGTCTGTGCAGAAGGCAGTAGTGGGGATGTTGGATACCCTTTGTCCAAAAAGGGTGCCAATTGGGGATTAGCAAATACTGGGGACAGTATGTAACCCCACTGGATGTGTTAGGGACTGAGAATGAGAGGAAGAGTGAGAAAAAAGAGAAGGCATATTATTTAGTATTCTCTGATGACTCATGCTACATCAAGAATTTATGAAAAGGTGTACATGCCCAAGTGGTTTCTAATGGAGGGTTACCAGATGTGGGAAAGCTGGAAGGGCACAGCAGCACATGATGGCCTTCTTATCAGGAGTCAGTTAATGATGGTTGAGGGACAACTGCTAAATTTGATGACTGTGGCCTACAGAGCAAAGACTCTGTAAAGCATCAAAGACTGCCAATACATTTGGAAGTCCACTAGAGGATGGATAATACTGGCAGAGTAAAAAGGACACAGATCCCTGGGTGCAGGTGGGATCCAGGCCGAGATACACACCCAGGCTGGACCCTGTGGTGGCTGGAGAAGACAAGCTCTCCAAAGTGGTCATTGTGGGTTGAAAGTGATTGAAAGAAGGTGCGTAAGTAGAGGAAGCCCTCATTGTTTTCAAAGTATTTTGTCTTCTTATTTTTGACTGCCAAATTTTTAAAAGACTGGCTGTATGGGTTAGATTTATTTTGTTATTCAGCTACAAAAGAAGGTATGCAGGTTAATCTAGCTGCCTAGATTAGTTATGTACTCAGTGGAGGGAGACAGACTTCTCAGGAGGGTGATTTACCACTCACTATGGACAACCTGGTTTAAGAGAGGAAAAATTGCTGTCCAAAAGAATAGTGAGAAGACAACGAGTCCTAAAAACTGAGATGCACTCAGAGAGACTTGCAACTAGGTGACAGAACAGTTAATCTCAATTATTCAGCTGTGAGTCGTAAACTCACATGGGTATGAAGCAAGTAGTTTGCTGCCATAGAAGTGGATCAGTATATAGAAACAACTAATGCTCTTTCTTGTACACTGTAAACTGTCTGGGCATTTTACTTTAAACTAGATATAATCTGATCTTCTAGATCAATTGACCATATGAAGCATGCATCTGAAACTGTTCAGAGAATCAGTCATTGCTTTAGAGCTTTTTGCCCCCAGCTGGGGTTGGAGAATGCTTGATATGTATCTAGGACAAAAAATTCAGTTTATATTCCTTTCAAAGAAATGTAGTTTGTACAGACCAAAAAAGATCTCTGGACTGAACCAGCCAAAGTGGAGATATGGCAGATTTTGCTCCAAAACCTTTGCTCCAAACCACAAAGCCCATGTGAAACATTTAAAATGCTGAATGTTCTATTAGATGCTTTGTCTGTGTTCCAGAGGCTCTATTTTACTCAACAATTTGAATGTTCTAACACCCCGTTAAACTTGATAATACCGCTCCTTGTTTTTCACTATTCTGTTTAACTCCAGTGTTTTTTACTATGAAGGTGATATTTACCTGCATGAAGCGTCCCTCCGAAGTTCCCAGATTAGCAACGGTAAGGTTCCCTTTGGTGAAGACAGATATTGAAGTTAACAGGACGTTGTTGAACTGGCCCATGAACAAGTCAACCCTCTGCAAAGGAGTTGTAACTTCTAAGCGATATTCATCATCTTGTGCTCTGCAGTATGAAGCATTTCTTGAAAAAGCCTGTTAGAAAATGAAGTACAGATGAGTACTGTCTTTATGAGTAGGAATAGATCTTTGTCAGAGTGAAGTCATTTAGCACAAATGCATTTGACCAAAAGTATTTTAAAATGTTTCAAACTTAATTGCTTCATCAGTTATGATGTTCTTTGAGGAAGGCAATGACTTCTTAACATTATGGGAATGCTTCTTTCAACTTTTTTATTCCCTCTGTAAGGAAAAAGACTGTAAGGTCTTTATTTAACCGGATGATATATGTGTAAGCATATATATCAAGGTTTTCTTTCTCTAGGTGAATTTCATAATGCTCCGTCTCCAAGGGTCTCAGAATTCTTTGATTGCAAAGCTTGATCAGTGACTTACCTGCTTCTAAAACAGTGATTCCTAGAAAACGATTCTCTAAAAACTTTGCATTTTCACTTTCTTTTTTTTTCATTAAAATAAGATTTTCCAGCATTCTTTTTCTGTTCTCTTTTTTTTTTTTTCCCTACATTTTTTTTCAGTGATACGCAGAAAAAGGTGGAGAAAAAGGTGAAGAAAGAGAAGGAAATAAAGCAGGAAAAATATGTTTCTGATTGTATATAGTGAAGCCAGCTTTTTGTAATTACTTAGGCTGTTATATTGATCATTTATTGCTTATGTGCTATTTCGTCCAATCACTATGTCTCAAGTGCACTGTAGTAGTTGCTGTTTTTGCAGGATTTTCTCTTTCAGTTTGGTAATAGAGAATACAGGTTTTTAATTTTCATCAGAAAAATTCTTGAACAATACACTTTAAGATATCTCTAGAGAAGAATATAACCTTCAGTTCTGATAATTCAATAGTAATCTATTAACTGAAAATTCCATTACTATTGATACTACATCATCTGTTTTGGTGAAATTGTACAGATAATAACCAGGAACCCCCTAAAGGATCTCTAACCAGTTTAAATTTGGAAGTCATCTAGTGTGTTCCCACTGTAGCATCCTTTATGAATAAACATGTAGGAGGATTATAAAGGATCTTAGGACAGTCCCCTCTGTTGAAATCAATACAGAGCTAGGTTTTTCCTACTTTTTTTTTCTTATTGATTTGTTGTTGTTACAAACATGTTTAAAAAATCCTTTTAAAAGCTTGAATTAAGCCTTTTAAAGACAGTCAGAGTCTTTCTACTAAAGTCAATAGGCCTGGATCATGCAGTTAGAGACAAGTAAAATTTTATTTTTATATTTTCTTGATTTGGGTGGTTTTCCTTCTGCTACTTAGAGTACTATTAGAAAGAAAATGATGAATCAAGGATTTCTTGCTGGCTTAACTCTGTTGAATTCTGGAAAAACCCCAGGGCATTGGAAATGCTACTAGCAAACTGTTTAACGTAATAGCTCCGTCCTTTGCTGTCAAATTGTTGTGTTTCTGAACTGTGCCCAGCAATAGCACTGGCAGGTGAAGTTTCTTATGATCCTTGGAAGTTGCTGCCAGCAGTTGTGACAGCTTTTCTCTCCAGGTGTCCTGTCAATTTACTGTATCATTTATGTAAAATCCTGTATAAGGCTAAACAAGTGTAATTGAAATCTTTATGCCTAATCATAGCCTAACGATACAGAAAGAGGGCTTCCATATTAGATCTGACACAGAAGTGACTTAATGGTTTGGTCACCTACATGCTAAAGTGTTTGCTCTATTAGTTTTGATATTAACTGTTAACGTATGGTAGGAACTGACCTAGGAACTTTGCACTAGGCACACCGAACAGTCACTGAATAAACTTTACATATTTTTAACCCAGTACTTGACTGGGTTAAGTCATCAACAGGAGACAAATTTAATTTTTCTTTGTTTTGGCCAACAAACAAGTGAAAAGCTTTATTCTTTTGCAGTCATATCCTATCCAGTTGAAAAATATTTTTGAAACATCTGTGCAAAGATTACTCATACAATGAGTATGAATAGTTCAAGTGCAGAAAGATGTACAGTTCTCATGCTTTTTGAAATAAGGCAGATTTCTGAGTTTACCCTCCCCCAGCTTGGGACCTCTGCTCTTTGCTATAATTCCTTTCCTTCCATGAGCAAACAACTTTAGGGAGAATGTTTCAGTGCTAAACCTAAAAAAGTACCTTCTCCTGTGTGCTTATCTTAACACATTTTGAGCATCCTGATGCTCCTTGTGAAACTCTGTTCAAGCTTTTTTTTTTTTTTTTTTTTTTTTAATATGGCTGCATTTTCCTGTTTGCCCTGATACCTTTCCTAGCTTTCCTGAAGTCATTTCAGCCACAAAGTCATTTCAGCCTTCCTCAGAGATGTCGTAATTTTGGGTATCTGCCCAAAGACCTGCAGAGTGTTCCACATATGGCTCTCTTACAAAACCTGGCGCTTCATGGATCAACCATAACATAAGGTTAGCTGTTCAAGAAATACGAATGCTTTGATCTTTGAGTAGAAATACAGAGATTAAAAGGCTACTTAGAAAACTAAAGGAAGATTGATAACACAGAAAACTTCAGTAAAGAAGCTGCTTTAAATTAACTCTTTGAAGATTGAATCTCTGCCTCCCTCTCTCTTTCTCTCAGTGTACACATAAGTATCCTCTTGGCTGTCAATGTGGAAAAATAACTGATGTCAGATGATGCACTCTGGATATTACGCCAAGTTGCGGTGACAAATCACACAAATATTGAAATGGACGATTAGAGCACTGGTAAGTGCGTGGGTTGGGCTATATTGCCTCTCTTGTGTGATGAGAGGTGCCAGTTGGGTGTGATTCACAGCAAGGGCTTTGTGAAACTGGTGTAGGTGTGCCACTGGAATGCAAAGAGGTGCGGGAAAGCCCTGCCTTTTTTCTGTATCCAGAAGGTAGGAGATAACACACCACCTTATTAGTTCATAGGGGAAGTTTTGGTGTTTTGGAATTTTCCCTGGACTCCGTCCATGGAGGACAAACATACCAAAGAAGCCCCTAGACATCAAGCTGGGCTATCAAGGGCTGTTGCTGCTTGGCGGTTAACTGATGATTTACACCTCATGTTCAGTGGACTTAAAAATATTATTTTGGACAGAGTTGCACATTTGAAACTAAACATGCAAAGCAGGGAGGAAAACTTAAAGTTTTAAAGTTGCTAATGGAAATCTCAAAAAAATACCCAGGTAGGTCAGTGTCAGTATTTAGTCTCCTGTCCTCTGGTCTGAATAGACTCAGGGACCAAAAAAAAAAAAAGTTTAACCAGGGATTTTTTTCTGAGATTTTCTGATATTTGCAGTGACTGCTGTTTGGAGAAACAGTTCAGTAAGCATTCCTCCAGACCTGTCTTGCTACAGCTGGCCAAAACCTCTCTTCTTATTTAAGTGCAGTGCTCAATTAGATAGTGATATTATGTCTTGATCTGATGCTTAATGTCTTGAATAAACTAGAAATTAATGACTTAATCACTGCAGAGCATCTCATGCTGTCTTGCAAACAATTTGGAAGACATCATTAAAATTAAAATTTAATTTGACAAATTGAAGAAGTAGGCTGAAATTAACGAGATTTACTAGTGTGAATTGTAAAATGCTACAGTTATGAAGGATAATTCAAGTACATTGGGAATATGTAGGAGTCTTATTTCCTAATGGTTAGTTTATGTGACTTTTAACTTGTTAGCTGTCAGGAATCAAATGCCTAATGATCAGCTTTTGTTTTCTTCTATGGATCTTGGGAGTCTCCCTCAAGAGAAATGGGCACCCAGAAGTGCCTACAGCATTTCTCCTTTGAGCGTTTCTATGGCATAACATGGTGGAAATGTGCTACAGCTGGAGGAGACGGAGTCTGATATCTGCAAATAGCAAAAGTCCATTTTCAATGAATAACTGCTGTAGTGGGAATGAATAGATGATTCTACATAACAAATTGGCTCCCAATCTGATTTAAAATGGAAACAGTGTAGGAAGACATTTAGGAAATCTCCTGAATAGTTTCTTATCTCCTGTTGTGGAGGTCAGTGAGTGAAGATAAATAAACTGCAATTTTCAGGACTGTGTCCTGCTGGATTCAAATACATAATGATGTAAAACTTATATAACAGACTCTGAACAGCAAGAGTAACTGTAGGGAAGACAGAAGGACCTTATCAGACTTTTCTCTCTCAATTTTCTTGAGTATTTTTAGCCAATAAAGTTTTGCTGTTCTGTAATGCGTTCAAATTTCCTGGATAGTTTGCACTATTTCTCTTCAGGAAAGCAATGCATTTGATCACTCTGTCTTCTCAAGTGAAATACGAGAGGTGAAATTTTGGCTCCAGTAATGTCAGTGAAGCCAGGATATTGCCTGAAGGGGATGAGTGACTTGATCAGCATCATACTGCAGTTAGACCCTGTACCATCTCTTTTTCAGTGCCAAGTTTAAAAATGTGAAGTACATTATAAAGATCTCCTGCCTATTGTTGTTATCTCTGAAAGGAATTACTCCTTGGATTTCATAAATTCATAAATCTTCCCAGCTGTCACATACCAGTCACTTTCATTCTATGCTCAGTTAGAGAAGACTACTAAAATCCTTATTCTTATAGCTCCAAGACAAGGTGAGGAGAAAAATAACCAGGACAAACTTTCTGGCCTCTGGCCCATTTATGGACTTTATTCACCTCATGCCTTCTTATATCTGTTCCCTTGGCAAAAGGACAAACTCCTTTCTCCTGTCCCCTGTAGTTTCATGCCTTAGCTGGTCAGAATGAATAAAGCACAAGGGAGAAGAGGAGATAAATATAAGTAGCTTTCTACTCCAGTCCCATGGAAGAATATTTTCTCTGCAATTTGAAAGAAGGAAAGTTCATGAAATGGACCCAATTTTACCACTAGCAATTCTAAAAAGCCACAGTCACATTTGTTTTTCTCACTATACATAACTGTCACAGACTATCTGAATTCATTATAGTTATGGGCACAATCAATGATCACACAATGAAAAATTATGGACACACTTATTTTTTGGAAGTAACTGAGCAGAAAAGAATCTCTTGTGAATGAACTCCAGTGCTGTACAACAGGC